TGCTGAAGACAGCAAGCTCCTGTTAATAGGGCTAAACAGAGTAATTCATGTTCCTCTCCGCTTGTGCTGATTTCCAGTTCCCAGCAAAATGTCTTTTCCCAGTATTCGGTTTTTGCTTTCCCTCCCCTGACTCTGTTTCATTTTCTTTTTACAAGTAGCTTCCCGAACCACCCGGAGTTCTTTGTTTCTATTTCAAGTAAACTTCGTGTTGCCTTAAGCTGCTGGAAACTCGCTGTTCTTGCTAAAATTACAGCGGGCTTTTCACTATGGTTCCTGTAAGCAAGGTGATAGGGCTTACGAGTTTTGAAGCAGCATGTGGTCGAGGTTTATAGCTATTGTCGAAATAATTTCTCCTCTTAAAATTCTAGGCTACTAAAATAATTTGAATACTAAAATAGCAGGGAAAAGTTAATTCCTGATGATCCTTTCCTCCTCAGTTAAATACGTTTGATGCCTATGGTCTTCCTTTTGTTCATGTTGACAAGGAAACAGTAGTTTAGTAATTCCTATTATCAAGAATGGTGGCATTGATGACAGGCATTGATACATTCTTGAACTCTAAGAGGAGTCTCCTGAGGATCCCGGCCTTATTATCTTAAGTATAGTAAGAGGAGGGCTTACAATGTGCATTCACTACCTGCTGCTTACTGCCAGCAGCTGAAAACCATACTGTGTTGGTTTATACTGAGTGCTGTTAGGTCATGTGCTTTTGCTTGTTGCCTTGGATGCATTTGGTGCTTGAGTAAGGAAAGATTTTCGTGACCCTAGACTTTTTGCTCTGTGGTGAGCCATGCTGCCGCTATGCAAAAATTATTCCACTGATTAGCCCTCACAGCTGCCTGAATGTAAAATGAATACAGCTATGAATGAGATACACACAGCATCCTCTTTCAGATGGGGTGGAGAAACGGTGGCAAAATCTGTGCTTGTCAGAAAGCCAGACAAAGCAGGAGACTAGCAGGGACAACATCAACAGGAGTCAGTGTGAACAGCAGGTGATAGCAACAATAAGGATGAAGAAGAATTTCTAATTAGGATAGTAATTATCAGAATTTTTAGAGGGTGGTTTCTTCATCTTTTTCTTAATAGTTTTGGATCCTTCACCATTCATACTCCTATACAGTGCAAGGTGGCATAGGTGTATTAGCATCTATAAGATTATTCTCCTCCCAGGCATGTGATTTATCTAGTATGATATTTCAATCTCTTATTTCATAGTAGGTCTCTTTCAAATAACCAAATTTTCAAGAGAGGAAGTTTCTGTACCTGAAAAGCTGTTGTTGCTAATGCTAGTACTATTGTAGAGTGATGGGAAAAATGATGTTATATTTGAGGCTTCAGCACCCATAATTGGCATTAACTGTCCTGTTTCTATCTTTAGGGTATGGTGTTTGTTGGGTATTCATAGCTCCAGCTTGTGAAAGCTGTTGGAAAATGGGGTGGATGTTATAACATGATTTTAATAAATTTTTGAAGCTACAGTTGCTTTTTAAAGGTAAAGCTACTGGGTAGAGAATGTGAGTGTTCTGGCTAATGTAGCAATGAGCTCAATTCTCTAACTGCTTTAGAAAGCAAATTCAGGGTGAGATTTGTCTTGCCTTACGTGATTCTAAAAGTTAGCTGGATTTTCCTGTCACAGGAGAGGGATATGGCAGATAATCTGTGTCTCTCTGGCACCTCCATGGGGCAGTGTATCAAAATGGTACCTGGTTTTCCATTGACTGTGGAGTAGATTTATGTTTGTAGTTTATGAAGTGGTCTATAAGCTGGGAGAGATGAATCCTACTCCCATATTCCAAAATGGTAATTTTTGTTGTCTGTTTCCAAAGGTCGTTTCAACCTAGATTCATTGCATACTGAGACTGTGTTCTTCCCTGACATGAAGCGTTCATCAGATGTACCTCTTTGTCATTTTAGATTTTCAGCTTGAGATCTGTGTGCTTGTGCTGATTTTCCCATGAAGTACATCCTGGTAACTGGTGGTGTCATCTCGGGCATCGGCAAAGGGATCATTGCAAGCAGCATTGGCACCATATTGAAATCATGTGGTCTACGTGTCACTGCAATCAAGATTGATCCTTACATAAACATAGATGCTGGAACCTTTTCACCATATGAACATGGTATGGAGGGCAGTGCTGTTCCGTTTTGCATGAATATGTGTATTCACAGTAAGGTGGCGTTTGTGGTGTCTTTAAGAAAACCAAACAATAATAGTAGTTATTAGTCATTTTGTTATCTATTTAGCAATGCAAATTTCTTCCTTGCTATATGTTCTTAAGGGCATTGTCTGCTCTAAGTAAAGAGAAGAGATTGTCTGTTGAAGATTCTTTTGTAAGTAGATGTGTCCTTTCTATAAAATCCCATTTTGTTAGGAAAATCCTAGCTGTAGGCCTTGTTCGGTTATTTTCAGTTCAACTTGATAAAAAAAATTAAAAAAATTACAATAGTGGTATAAAACTTACTAGAAACTGAAGTCCTCAACAGTTACTTGTGAATGCTGTTATCTGGGTGTCAGGTGTCAGTGCCTTCTAGTGTAAATGTCTTCATGAGAGTTAGACTAGGTTCTCATTTTAGTCCATAAGGATCTTGTCAAAACCATCAGCGAAGCTTAGAGACCCAACTAATGATACCATTAATTTGTTTGCTTAGTTCTCTAAGCTACCTTGATTGTGTTGACTACATTGTTGATGAGCAACAGGTCAGTCTGACATGCATATATAATGTTGACTCTTCCTTCAGCTATCTGGCTTGTTACTTAGACATTTATTAAAAATGATGTTTTTCAAAGTTTCAAAGTACCTTCAACCAATAGACATTTCTAATTCTTTTTATTTGTTAGATTTTGTCTGCCTACTTTTAGTCTAGACCGAAAGTTTTGGAACTGGAGATAAACATATTTATGTCCTTAACTGAAAAAAGACCACTTTGCTTTTTAAATGGAGGAAGAGCACAGCACATCAGACTTCTCCCCAAAAGCAAAATTTAACTAGTCCAGTGGTCCTGCACTTTCAGAAGCATATCTGGTGCTACTTAGGCAGTTGCCTTTACCTTTCGTGGTAAGACTCCTGTGATGTCTTGAGTTTATGAGGATGTACTCCTCCTCCAGATCAGATACAGGGGAGAAGGGACATTATGGCAAGTAATTCCCACATGATATTCCCCCCCCACCCTGTTCACTTAAGAGTTTCTTAATGTTTGTGAAGAAACACTAGCTTGCTGGGTGGTAAGTAGAAATGCACCCACGCCAAAATGGCAAGCCTCTTTTGTTAACATTTTGGCAGAAATATGATTGAGACATAGGGTTTTAATTTAGTGATTTCCAGTTAACTAAAGAGCTTTTTTAGTAGTATATTTTTTAGTTCTTCCAAGGCCTGCTTATGAGAAATCTTGGTTCCACTCTGTGTCTATTGGCTTAAGCGATAACTTGGTACAGAGAATGTAGTCAGTGCCTCCCAGGATCAGGCATAAGTCTTCCACCCTGTTATAAACATAGGATCACAGAATAGTTAGGGTTGGAAAGGACCTTAAGATCATCTAGTTCCACCCCCCCTGCCATGGGCTGGGACACCTTGCACTAAACCATGTCACCCAAAACTCCATCCAACCTGGCCTTGAACACTGCCAGGGTTGAAGCATTCACAGCTTCCATGGGCAACCCATTCCAGTGCCTCACCACTTCATTGTAAAGAACTTCTTCCTTATATCTAATCTAAACTTCCCCTGTGTAAGTTGGAAGCCATTACCCCTTGTCCTACCACTACAGTCCCTAACGAAGAGTCCCTCCCCAGCATCCTTATAGGCCCCCTCCAGATACTGCAAGGCTGCTGTGAGGTCTCCACACAGCCTTCTCTTCTCCAGCCCCAACTTTCTCAGCCCGTCTTCATACAGGAGGTGCTCCAGCCCCCTTGTCATCCTCGTGGCTTTTGTTAAACTGTTCAGTGGAGTGTTGTGTCTTGCAGGATATATTATATCTGCAGTCCACACTATACTTTCAGGAGGATTCTTTTTTTTCTTGTGCACTGGTTCCATAATTTGCTTAAGCATTGATTTATTGGATCATGGCAAAATATTTTATGCTTTTTTCTGAAGAGCTTTCCAGCTTTACCTGGAAATCTAGCAACTTTAGTTCCTTCAGAAGTTGATTAGATTCAGAATTTAGAGGCTCTTTAGAGGTCTAAGAAAAATCTGAACCTAAAGGGTATTTTTGTTAGATTTTTCAGGATCAGAATGCTTGGTGTGGACATAGTGAGCTAAATGTACAAGATGAAACAACTGAATAAGAAACAGTGATCATGCTTTAAGAAGCATTTATGTTTAGCATAACTTTACTCCTGGTCCAAGCCATAATCATTAAAATAGATCCAACCAACAAGAATTTACAGTGAAACACTTTGAGCATGATTCATGCTTTTATAAGTTTATTGGAGTTTTTGGCTCCATAATAGTTTGCACGGGAGTTTTTGGCTCCCATGTGTAAATTGCTGTTTTATTTGTTGCTGATTTATGATTTCTGGAGATTGTTTTCTTCCAATCAGGGGTTATAGCATGCTGTTGAAATGCTGCTGAAATGTTTTTAAGTCACTTAAATATTTTAGCAATAAAACTTAAACTTACTTGCAAACTGTATGTGACTGAGGGGTAGACTGTAAAAGTAAAGACTTAATATCCAAGTCACACAGAATGACAATGCAGATTGAGTTGCAGCATGTGCTTTATTGGTATGTTGTGATATGTCATTTTAAAAAACATTTCATAAATTTTGAGAAGTTTGTGGTATTCCTTTTTGCTGTGTGTTTAATAATTTCTCATTATTTTACTGCTTTTCTGTCGTTTTCTCTTTCTTTTTTCAGGTGAAGTTTTTGTATTGAATGATGGTGGAGAAGTTGACTTAGATTTGGGAAATTATGAGAGATTTTTGGACATCAGTCTCTATAAAGACAACAATATCACCACCGGGAAAATATATCAGCATGTCATTAATAAAGAAAGACATGGTGATTACCTGGGAAAAACTGTTCAAGGTGATATTTTTAATTCTATGGGATACTTTTCCATTCAGTCTTCACTGAAGTGATTAGCTAGATAGAACAAGCTGTTCCTTTCTGCATCACTTTATTCTTTTCTCTTTTCCAAGAGTTTTGGGCATATTCCTGTAGTATTTGGCTTCTGGGCTCAAGGAAAAGAGGAATAGAAAAATGAGCTAGTAGTTTCCTTTTGACTTTCTGCTCATTTTCCCCCTTTTGCATGCAAAACCTAGTATGTGGATCTCAAGATATGCTTGCTTGTTTTGTTTTTTTTCTTGTAGTTGTTCCACACATCACTGATGCAGTTCAGGAATGGGTGATGAATCAGGCGAAAGTTCCAGTGGATGATGACAGAAAAGAACCACAAATTTGTGTAATTGAGGCAAGTATATGGAACCTTTCAGGATATAGCTTCACAATGAACACAAACAACTAGCTTGCTTTCTCCTTGCTACTTACTGTAAAAAGGTCAGGCTGAGGTTTTATGGAGAGCAGCAGTGCAAAGGCACATTATGTATTCTTTCGTTTGTTCTGAAAATGAAAGGTGTGGTGTTACACCTACAGCTTCTGTTTACTTGACTAGATCCCTTCTGGAACACTGCTGAAACTAAGCTACTTAAAAGTTTTTTGATTTAAAAAGTTAAAGCAGCCAGTTACTGTAATGTGAAGTATCTATTCCAAGATTCAGACATGTGACTGAAGCTTTATACTGTTAGTAGTATTAAGAAAACTTGTGTAAACTTGAAATCTACTATGGGCTGTAGGACAGCCTCAAATACCCTAGCTTTCTATATAACTTCAAATGTCCATCTTGTTGCTTGTGGTCAAGTTTAACGGAATATATTTAAAAACTATAAGTCAACTTCCCACTTTCCTGGTGCTACTTTTAAGATCCTTGGAGGGAACTATATTAATCATTTAACCAGCTGCTGTTCTGCACAATGGAAACGATGAGATCTACCCATTCTTAGTAGGGCATTGAGACAACTGGAGGGAAGGCAGTCAGCAATTGCTCGTACTATTGCAGCAGAAAATATAGGAAAAGATTGTACCTGAAAATATGACAAAAGGATGTGGCATATGTTTAATGCCAGAAGTGACCACCATAATCAAGCGTGATAAACTTTGTGACCCAGGCCACAGAATTGCTTAGTATTTCTTACACAGAAGAAGCTGCCTTCACTATACTTATAGGTATAGCTGTAGATCTTTTTCTGTGATGTGCAGAGTGAGAGTTAAACATTTCGTCTAAAACAAATGTAAAAACAGTAAATAAAGAAGTTGGACAAGAATAGTAATAAATGATGGGCTTGTCAGTCCTTTAACTTCAAGCTTATTTTTCTGTTTCCTCTATGTAAGACTTTTTTTCCTGTTTGGTTTTTGTTTTTGTTGGTTTTTTTTTTGTTGTTTGTTTGGTGGTTTTGTTTTTGTTTTGTTTTGTTTTGTTATAGCTCCAGCCTGATAAAAATGTTTTTCTTCACGACTTTTAGCATAATTTAAATGTTTTCCCTTGGCAAAACCCTGAAGGAGTTAGACCGAATACGTGCGTCTTGTACAAATGTAATCGCCTGAAGTTTTTCAGCTACTGGGTGAACACAAATCTGCAATTCTGTCAAATGCCACTTGGTGGCACAGAAAAATCATTATGAAATACGACTACTTCATAAGACATAGGCGCTAAACACTGCTTTATTCAGTGCTTAGTCTACTTCATCTCTTTGTGTCTTTGAAAGACATCTAATTTCTGTCTTTATAAAAAAGTTTTGTCATGGACTTCGTATTGGGTTTTGGTTTGGTAATATTGAAAGTCTTGTATAATGTCAAGTATTACTTCATGTTGTCCATATGGCATTTACTGATGTTGGAAAGTTACGATAATACTGCTAAATGCCTGTATTTTGTTGGTCACAACTGTTCATTAATCTGACAGACTGAAAAATAGAGGTTTTTTGTGTCTGTCACCCATAGAGTTAGCTGCATGCCATCCAAAGCAGCACACATAAGCACAATCATTGTAAAACCTGTTGGGGGAGGGAGGGAAAGTAAAACCCAGCAACAGTCATTGAGTGTCTCCTTAATGTGTGTAAACTCTTTAAAAGCACGTGTTCTGAGTAGTTGTCAAGAAACCAAGACTTTAGTTAGAAGTAGTTGTGGTTCATAGCCTCAGCATCTGCTTCATTGTCAGCCCACACAGTTGACCTGGCTCACCAGACAGGTAGTCAGAACTGCAAGAGATTGCCAGGAGCCTGGGGTGCAATACAGGCGACTCCTGTAGAGGGAGATGCTGCTTTGCTTCTGCCTTATTTTAAAGCTTTTATCCTTCACATCAATGTAACTATTGCTTACTTGTTTACCACTTTGAAGGTAGCATCAAAGCATGTATTATTCAGTAGCACCACTCATCTTCCCAGGGGAAGCTTATGTGTTTGATGTAAAGTGAATATAACAAAACTTGAAAATTTTTCTATGTTTTCCCTAGGAAACAAATACAGAGAACAGATAAAGGCTCTTTGCAGAGTGTGACTGCAAGTTTCAGTTGTCTTTTTTTTAAAGATAAATATTTCAGGAAACTTACTTGGTAGAGGCAGATTTTTGTTTGGTTGCTTTGTTTTTGCTTTCTGACACTGACATATCTAAGCTTTCTTTTTCAGCTTGGTGGAACTATTTGAGATATCGAAGGAATGCCGTTCATTGAAGCATTTAGACAGTTTCAGTTCAAAGCAAAAAGAGAGAACTTCTGTAATATCCATGTTAGTCTAGTACCACAGGTAAGTTATTAAAATTGATAAAATAGATTTTAGTGTGTATTGGGCTTTATATTTGTTTACTTCTCCCATTAACTCTTTCATGGTTGAAGGTTTTAGAGACACAAATACGAAACCTAGTCACACTGAAGTAAATAAAGGCCTTGATATACTTTATTGATGTGAGAATCGGTTTTAATGTTCTAAGTTACTGAAAACCCCTGTTATCAACACTGATTTACCTAGAAGGCTAAATAAAGTTGTTCTTTGCGCTAGAAGGTGCTGGTACGTGATGAACCCAGTAAGAAAGGCTCTCAAACTCTCTTAAGGTATCATTTAAAATTCTATTTGTTAGAGCTAACACTATAAGGAGAGAATGGTATAAATGACTTTACATTCCTTTAAGTGTTGGGAGGCCTAGGCTGTGTATCATTGAATGGCCCTGATGTGCAGCGTGCTGGGCAGACCACATCCTTAGAAGTGATTCTTCCCTTTTGGTCATTTAAACTAATAGATAATTTCATTACAAGGAAACAACTGTATCATTTTTATTGTCAAACAGAAAGGATGTTTGACAGAACAAACATCCTTTCTGGAGAACTTCCTGCTGCATTCCTAGATAAAGGGAAGGCCACGCAGGTGATGGAATTGCAGATCATGAGTGGGAGCTGCCTGCTGGCTCCTCTGTTACAAGAGCTGGCTGAGTTTGTCCTGCAGCCAAGGGATTTGTGCAGCGCAATGGGCCTCTCTAGGGGAACTCTGGTGTGTATCACTAACTCCTTGATGTACAGTGGTCTTCTGGTCAAGACCACTGCAACTTTTTGTGCAGGGCTGAAAGTATTTTTCCATTCTAAACATTCAATTCTAAATTTTACTTCACAAATATGTTTTCTTACTATTTTTATTCATTGGGGAGATTTTGCTGAGCAATATTGGTAATGATGATATGCTTGTACCTAGTATGGATAAAAAGAGAATTATTAGCAATCACAGGTTTGGATTGGAGAATTCGTCAGCAATTGGTGGGATTGATTCTGTGTATTTGAGTATAGAATTACTTACTACTTCTGATAATTTCCAAGAACGGTTACTAAAGGCTACGTACTATGTTGGGCATTCTCTATTAGCAAAATCCAACTTTTGGAATGTTTCTCTTCTACCACCTGAGTCACTTGCACTGAAACTATTTCTCTGAGGGAAAAAAAAAAACCAAAACCAAAACCAAAACCCCAACCAAAACCCAACAAAAAAACCCAAAATAAACCTGACCTGAATTAAGACCTTGCAGTTTCTTCACAGAATTTCTTATATAACAGTGGTGTCATTTCTGTTTCTGGCATATTGTTGACCTGTTTGGATATGTTTACTTCCTCCAGGTATTATTATTTGCAATGGATTTTCTCTTTTCACCTGTAACTGCTTTGCTATCTAAGCTTTTAAAATATGTCTTTCCAGCCTAATGCCACTGGTGAACAGAAGACAAAACCAACACAGAACAGTGTTCGAGCACTGAGGGGTCTAGGCTTGTCTCCAGACTTGGTGAGTCAATAAATACAGATTTTTATTTACAGGTCATCTAGAAGTGTCCTTGTGTAAGCTGTCTTCAAAGTATAAGCCTTACTCTTCCGTGAAAGACAAGAACTTTAGAAGAAATAGAAAATACATGCTTCTCAAATTTACTTTAAGTTAATTCAACTAAGTCCTTGTGATATCTTGGGACTGTAGTTATGTTCTTCTAAAGTTCTTTGCAGAGAAATGATTCTGCTCTTCTAAAAAGAATGAAAAGTCTCAGTTCACTTTGTGGGAAGACCTAGAATGCCTCTGGCCTCTAACATTCTCTCACAGATTTCTTTTTATGCATGATTAAGAAGAAGCAATCCTACTTTGAAGTACAACCTTTAAAAAAATATTCCTGTTTGGAAATACAAACATATGGGTGAATCTCAAAAGTAAGGTTCCTCAGTTTCTTTCATAGAATCGTAGAATAGCTTGGTTTGAGAGGGGCCTTTAAAGGTCATCTTGTCCAACCCACTTCAGTAAGCAGGGATATCTTCAACTACATCAGGTTGCTCAGAGTCCTGCCCAACCTTAACTTGAATGTTTCCAGGGACGGGGCATCTACCACCTCACTGGGCAACCTGTTGCAGTGTTTCACCATCCCCACTGTAAAAAATTTCTTCCTTATATCTAGTCTGAATCTGCCTCCTTTTAGTTTAAAACCATTACCTCTTATCCTTTCACAATAGGCCCTGCTAAAAAGTTGATCGTCATCTTTTTCATAAGCCCTCTAAGTACTGGAAGGTCACAGTAAGGTCTCTGCAGAGCCTTCTGTTCTTCAGGCTGAACAAGCACAACTCTCTCAGCCTTTCCTCACAGGAGGGGTGCTCCAGCCCTCTGATGATTTTTGTGACCTCCTCTGGACTCACTCTAACAGCTCCATATCTTCTTTCCTGTGCTGAGGGCTCCAGAACTAGACACAGTACTCTGGGTGAGGTCTCACCAGAGTAGAGTAGAGGGGTAGAATCACTGCCTTGACCTGCTGCTCATGCTCATTTTGGTGCAGCCCAACATGCGATTGGCTTTCTGGGCTGCAGGCGCACACTGCCATATCATGCTGAGCTTCTTATCCACCAGTACCCCCAAGTCCTTCTTGGCAAGGCTGCTCTCAGTCCCTTCTTGCACCACATACTGTAGTGAACCTAAAGCCAGCAAGTTTCATTTCATGCCAGTTGGCAAATGATCAAAAGCTTAACTCCTTCTGTTCTTTCTCCCCAGTGCTTTAGTTTAATGAGTATGTGCTTATTCCCTGGATGCAGTTTTTGCCTCCCTTGTACTTTTCCTTGGGAGCAGAGAGGAGACATAAGTAGAATGCAGCTCCCTGTTGTGATCTGACACTGATGTTAATCTCCTTGGTCAGGTGTTGATAGCAGTGAAGCCAGGGCAGCACAGCTTTAAATGCCAGTAAAACCTCAGTTCAAATTTATACTTGTATCTTCCTGAGCTGCAGCTGGTGCAGCTGAAGACACACTCTATTTCTAGGTCTGCTTGAGAAACAGAAAAGGACAATTTTGCTCTTTTGTGTGAATCTGTTTGTTACATCAAAGAATATTTTCATTACTTGATTCTGGAAGTCACTGAGCCCTTTCCATTCCCTTAAAATCCACTGGGAGAAAAAGCTTCCTAGGCCTTCTCAGAAATAAGAGGAGTGAGAATGGTCACTGGTTCTGTATAATATTTATATCTTCAAAAAAGAAAAATTATTCTTAATAGTCACACAATTACATTTTGTGCTGTGCTGATTTTTTTTTTCTTTTTAATTCTTGTATTTCAGGTTTATCAAAAAAGCATGCTTATAACTACAATACTAATGGCTTTATAAGTAGGATATGTGAAGGATGTCTTAGGTAGCTTCAAATTGTTGTGACATGGCAGCTGTAATCAGCTTGTGTAGTGCAGTGCTGCTCTATATTCCAACCTTCAGGCCCTAAATTTCAAAATCCCTCTTCAGGTGCTAATTGCATATGGAAAGTTGCCTGTGATTGTTCAAGCCTTTAATTGCCGGTGCCTGACTCCCTCCCTAGCCCCCAAATTAATTTGTAAAAGCCTGCTAAGCGTACGTAGTAAAAGGAGAACAGGCCAATCTAGTCACTTTCTCACATCTTCAATTCTTGCCTGAGGCTGCTGGTGACCACTAAAGCACTGAGAGATTAAACTCTGAGCAGAGCTTTCTGGCGCTGCTATAAAGTTGCTTGGGCACTGCTTCAAGAAAATCTTTAAATAGTTGCTGTCATGGGCAGGGGCCCAAGGCCAAGGCAGCACATGGGGAAGTTCTTAGAACAGCAGGCAGGAGGGCTTCCTTCATAAGCCGTGCTGCCAGGTTGCCTGATCTAAACTTGGCTAGACCTGTTCTTAATACCTGCTGCCTCCCTGTCTGGTCCCAGGCTTCCCTGAGGTGGCATGCTGGGCCAGCCTTAGCTGTGCATGTACAAGAGCCTTTCTGTTCTCTGTGGGGTGTTTTAAGCTCTTGATGAAAACTGCTGTATCTGCAGATATAATGGACGCTGTAACAGTGTTTTGAAGACTGATTATACACTTGTCAGTGCTGCCCTGTTCAACTGAATTGTCACTCATCTCCTTTGTTTCTTTGAGATCTCTCTCTGCCACTGTAACCAATTCTCTGTGACTGTGTTAACTTTAAATTTGTCTCAGCAAGACGGATGATAGATTTCAAAGTGGATTTAATTATGTGCTCATATTATCAATTATATATTACTACTGTTTGAAGAATTACATCTTCAAACAGTAACCAATTTTTAAGTTGTGCTTAATTGAATAGAATGTACAAATTGTTTCATAATTATTTTATGATTACTAAAATGTGCACTAATTTTCCTTGGCATTGTTTTTTTGTTTCTGGAATTTCTTGCAAGGGTAGGGGAAATTAATTAGACTTTGTCAGTATTAGTGTAGCTAAGCAGCATTCTGGCAAGGCGATCAAAGATCCGCTACAAGTTTCTGAACAAAAAAGGGCTTAATGCACTAAGTAATTGCATTGGCTGGAAAGATGGGGAAAATAATGGATGAATCAGGATCATCCTACTTTCTGTTACACTTTTAGGATTCAAAATAGCTTAATGTAGTAGACTGAGTAATCAATAAGCACACTGATAGAGCAGTTCTGCATTTGCCTGAAGTTACATAATGCGAAAAAACCACCTTCCAACAAACACCAAACCACATGTTTGTTTATTGGTAAAAATTGCCAGTCTTTTCTAAAATTCCTTAGCAGAATAGTAACACCAGGAAAAAAACCCCACAAAATTATGAAACAGTTTTCTCATCTTCATCCTCCTTTTCTTCATGATATACAAATTAAAAACTACAAAAAGATGCTGAATTACTGAAATACTGGAAAACGTGCATGTAAGCTAAGTGTTATTGCTCTAAATTTATCTGTTCTTTTGATTCGTCATATTATTTGTACTTGTAGAGCTGCTAGACTTTGGTAGAGAGTGTTACAACAGTAGCTACAAGAAGGGAGAACATGAGGAAGCAGTCCTATGGAGAATACCAAAGATTAATAAAAGTGGGTCAGTATGTGCAGGTGACTGATTTACTTCTGCCTTGCTAGCCGTTAATGGTGAGCTATGATACATTGTGGAACTCCAAAAGAGAAGAGAAAAAAAGGCACATAAGTTTGTGCTGTGCTTCCAAAGGAGTTAATTTCTCCATGAATGGTACTGAGTATTCTGTTGGTTTGCCTAGTAAATCTTTAGGTGTTTTCCTTCTGTTATGACAGATTGTCTGTAGAAGTGCAAAACCTATAGAAATGGCAGTGAAGGAAAAGATTTCCATGTTTTGCCATGTGGAACCTGAGCAGGTCAGTACTTTAATATTTTATTCATCATTATTTAAATATATGGGAAAACATCCAAATATTTCTGTGCATTTCTGTTTTCAACTTCAGACTGATTCATTAATATGTAATTGCTTACAATTTTTATCTTGCTGTTATGTACTTTGTAACACTTTAAAAATATTGGGAGTTTATATTTTAGATTCTATGTCAAATAGTCATTAATAATTTCAGTGGCTGTTATATGAAAAGCTGACAAAAGGAATAGATTTTGAGCGCATGGCAAATTCCTATACACAGTTGTGAAAACTGTGTACTTCTGAAGCTACAGTTGGTTATTGTCCTTAAATCATCTCAGGTGGTTATAATAATGGATGAACAAAGTGTGGGTAAAGCTAGAGGTTTGCTTATGTCCACAGATCATCACAGTCACATGAAATATCTTACTGTGATAATTAATGGGCTATTCATGCCCTTTAGCATGGTTAGAACATCTCTGTGTAGTTCTGTATATTTTTATAATTAATTGTGATTTTTGCCTTCATAGTTTGTGATTAATTGCTATTTGAATACTAATTTTGATAAATGCTCCTGAATATTTTTGGAAGTGAGAGCATTTTACTCTTCAATGTAATGGATAGGGATAACAGATGCCAACAGTTACGCTTTGTTTCAAATATGTATCAGTGTTGACCTGTCTTTCTGCAGGTGTGTAAGAAAAAGCTTTCTATAGTAAGATTCCAGATGAGCATGTAGAGGGCAGTGGGCTCTTACTCCCCTCACCACTCTTCCTTCTATCTTACTATCTGTAGATGACAGCACTCTTGAGCTAGCTTCTGGAAATCCTCAGAAATGCCTTTGTGGTTTCTTTCCAGCCAGAGACAGATAGATGGAAGTTCAGTCAAACAAAAATGCTATGTGCTTTTCTGTCAATATCAGGCTGTGTGTAAGCATGTACCTAGTCAGATTCCAACTGCAGTTATGCAACTGGACTAAGAGTCCAGTGTGTCCTTGAACTTCCCTAAAGAGCTCCCTCTCAGGGAGGGAGCTGTCTCCATGGCACTCTTTTATTTCTAAAGTTCTGTCTTTCAGGGTAGAAGCTCAGCATGTAGTATGCAAAAATACAGACTGTTATGTTTCCTATGAAAAATTATTAGGTAAGTCTCTTACGTAACCCTTTTTTTGTTAGGTGATATTTGTCCATGATGTTTCTTCCACTTACCGAGTACCAATCCTGCTGGAGGAGCAAGGCATCATCAAGTATTTTAAACAGAGGTTAAATTTACCTATTGATGACCATCCAAGTGATCTTCTAATGAGATGGAAGAAAATGGCTGATAGGTATCCTAATTCCTGACGCTTTTTCTAGAAGTGTTTTAATGCAAGTTAGAATTTTAGGTGCTGTGAAGTCACCAAACTCGATGGGGGACAGTAGCATGTTGCTGCTGATCAACACCTGTGAATGGTCTGGATTTAAAAACTGTCAGTTTTGAGATTTTAGAAGATAATTTGTGAAGTTAAAGAAAAAGCAAACATTGTTAAAATGTGTTCTTTGTGAAAATCAGTGTAATAACCAAAAAACTTGTTTTTGTCAGATATGAAAGGTTGCTGAAGGTGTGTTCCATAGCTCTCGTTGGCAAGTACACAAAACTAAGCGATTGCTATGCATCTGTTTTCAAGGCTCTGGAGCACTCTGCACTGGCAATTAATCACAAACTGGATTTAATGGTGAGGATATTTCTGGATTTTGCTTTCAGGGATACTTAGAATATACTCTCCTAGTTTCCATCATGTGAGGCAGTTTTAATTAATGTGGAAATCAGAAAATGCGTCATGCAGATAAATACAGACTGGCCAAGCATCTCATTTTTTTCAGGAAGCGTTTACAGATTTAGTAATTTTATTTGGATCTAAGCTTGTCTGAAAGGAATAATATAGTACCCAAAAGTGGATCTGATGAAAAAGCAGGCTTTACCTACAAATTTCTGTTTACCTCAGAGGAAGGTTTTGCTCATCAGACTGCTTATCATGTTAGTGAGATTAGCTTAAAGACAGGAGAAAACAGGTAAACTGAAAGCAGCTTTTATTTTTTTATTTTTTTTAAAATCCAGTGCCAGAAGCTGTTGCTCTTTATTTCTTTAATATTCTGAGAGCTATCCATTTTATTTTTAGCAGGATTCTGATATTAGAATTGGGCCGTAAACTTAGTTGCTCCAAAATAATAATTCCTCAAATACAGGACTATTTAGGAATGTAGTTTGCCTCTTTTTAATAAGAACAGAAAGTTGAACTACATGAGGGAAAAGCTTGCTAACTTTCTTGCTGGTGGAACTATCACTTTCCGTTGCTGAGTTTGTTCCAGAGATGGCAAGCCTGGAAATTCATTTGGAACTATTAATTTGTCTTAATGCTATTAAAAAGTTACTTTCAGTGGAAGAAAAACGTGTTTTATTGCGTGTCTGTCTTTATTAGTACATAGATTCAACAGAACTTGAACGTTCTACAGAAGCGGAGAACTCAGTGAAATATCACCAGGCATGGCACAAACTGTGCAAAGCAGAGTAAGTAGCATTGGGTATTCTGTATCCCAAATGCAAACAATGATACTTTTTTCATGTGATGAAAAATGCTTCAGTAAATAAGTTCTCAGTGCATCCAAACTTCTGTTACTTACATAAAATGATAGATGTGCACGGTTGGTGACAAGCTTCGGACATAGCAAATTATAGTATCAACCTGTATCCTCAAACTCTGCTTTTAATCTCTTTAGAGAAGTTGCAGTTGTTTGTTTGTTTGTGGGTTTTTTTGTTGATTCTTTGTTTTTGATAGCTAGACTTTCTTTACAGTGCACGTCAGTTGTCACAGATTTTTCTTTGTCAACATGATTCATATTGAAAGGTAGTTAAATAAAATCTTAGTAAATGCTGGTAATGCTTTGCAAATATCTGTTAAGAAACGTTGCCAGGATTTCAATTGGTGTTTGTAGTCAAAGTGCATTTAATTTCTTCAGTATTATTTAGTAGACATTAAGCTTTGGTGTTAAGATCCTAGACTAGTGAATATGTAGCGAGTTTATTTAAGCAATAGGTATTTAAGCAGTGGGAGTTTCACTGTGAAGCATGAGGCTGGTCAGATGAGAACTGGGGTGGGTAGATGAGACAAATTTGCAAATTAAGAGTTAAATTCTGTGTATTCTGAATGGTCATATAAAACATGCCTTTTGTGCCTCGTGCTTGTTTTGTTACAACTTCACAAGTCTTCAATTTGTATGGACTTCCTTTGCTGGCTGGATTCTACATGTTGGTTGCTTTACATATTGGTGTCATTCCAGTGGCATTCTGGTCCCAGGAGGGTTTGGAATTAGGGGAACAGAAGGCAAACTCCAGGCTATCTCCTGGGCAAGAACAAAGAAAAAACCCTTTCTTGGTAAGATCATTAAGAGTCAGAAACTGTTGTGTTTTGGAGGTGTATAGCAAGCTAATTGATTTGATTGAAAAGAAAAAACCAACAACCCCAACAAAAACCACACACACTGCAGAAGGATCCTGTCTTGGGCAGTATGTGTGCTGTTGTGAATATTTGCCTTGTAAACAATGCCCAGGGTTGTAGTCATGTACTACATTTGCTATATAAAGGAAGGAACAAAAAGACTATCCCTACTTGAAAGGTTTTATTTGCTATATTCACATTTATGTGGAGAGTCTTTGTGTGTCGTAATTAAATCAGCATCATTGTAAGTATTAATCAGTGTGCAGAAAACATAGGTGTCTTTGGACACATTTGTTATGTTAAATAATGTTTCTTGATTTGTGGTATGTTTCATTATGGTAAAGTCTAAAGATGCCATCTGGCCTATAAGCTAAGTGCTGTTTGTGTAAGTGCCTCTGAAGCTCTGGTTCCTACTCCACATTTCTTATATTTTTTAAGTGACTACTTGGACTAGTTTCCAAAGCAAAATTTGAATCTGGATATACTCAGGCTTACAGCTTCTCTTTGTCTTTACAGTAATTACTGGTCAAATAGATGGGAGGAAAAAAATATGTTCGAAAAGGCTTAAAGCACATAATTGTGTCACATTTATTTACAGTGTGCCAAGTTTAAAGAGTGAGAGAGTTTTGCATTGAGCAGTCATTTTTGGTTTAGCTTGTTGATAAGTCTGTGTATTTATACTGGGTACCAAGGTTTCTAAGCAGTCAAGTTTAAGAGAGAACAGCAAATACTTTCAGTCCTGCTCTTTGTCCTGCTAAATTCTCGGGGTTTTGTTTCGTCTTCTAGGAGTTTGCCTGGGAATGCAATTAGCAGTTGTGGAATTTGCAAGAAACTGTTTGAATTGGAAAGGTGAGCTCAGTATGCTGGTGTGAATGTGATTTGCTTAGAAGAAATTTTATTCTATATGTGAAATGTATATCTATTATTGTATAGATCCTATCATCATTAGGTACTTAGCTCTTCAACATGATCATTTTCAGCTCAGCACCCTGTGCTACCTTTCTGTATAAGGGAGAAGGAATTCTTGTTATGCAGATTGCTTGAAACCTGCTTCTTGATCTACCAAGTGTAAGAGAATGCATGCTTACAGTTCACCTTTCTAGTCTCTTTCTGGAGTGTGCAGATGGTGAAGAATAAAACCGAGAAGTGGTTTTCTCACTTGCTTTCATTAGTTTGAGAGTCAAACCATAGCCATTGCAGTAGCAGTATGAAGAGATTTAGCTTACCAGATAACTTCTACCACTGGCAGCTGGGAGGAAAAAGTTATGGAAAGTAAGAAAGGCAGTGTATATGACTGAGGTCATATGCTTCCTGTGATTGCTTAGAAGTGGTGCAGTATGTGTTTAAACATGTAAGATTGTAGCTTAAATGCAGGCAAACTCTGAAATGCCACAGAACTCTTATGATGCATTTGTATTGCATGTAGAACAATGGAAATTTACTGTGTTTGTTTTGAACTTGTTTCAGATGCTAATTCTACAGAATTTGACCCAGACACAAAAACCCCTGTTGTAAGTACTGCTTTTTTTTCTTTTCTGCATGTATCTAACATGTATCTTTTGTTAAAAAGGGAGTTACCTCTGTGTAAGATCTATCTACATCGTTACATAGTAGCACAGGAAAAGGTGTCTGTTGTCCCTATTCAATATTGTTTAAAAAGGTATTTTCTTTTAATGGTTCCTTGCCTTCACCTCCTTGCTCTGTGATTTGTCTTAGCTTTATGTTCTGTAATTTTTCTAATAGTTTCCTTGCCTGTAGTCTGATGCTGGGAGTAGACATAATGATTAGGTTGGCTTTACTAGAGAATAAAATATAAAGAGAAGCTGGAAAGTGTAGCGCAACGCTTTTATCAAAGTAGAAATTTATATAAAAAGATAAGGATTATATGGAAAGATGTTGAAAGATTCTTCTGTTTCCTTTATATAAACAATATAAATAACCACTACACTCCTCCTCCCTTACAAATCTCACAGTCCTCCTTTTGTGAAAAATTTCAGTACTGTAGATATGAAAGGGCTGAATCATATGCCAGTGGTAGAATCTTAGAGTTTTTTCCAGGTATCTCCTAGCTCAGGAGAGCATGATATCACAGGATCATGGTAGTAAAACTTAATGGTCAGTAAGACCATTAACTAAGGGTTTTTAAGAAAATGAAAAAGAACAGAAATACAGGTGAGAAGTAAAGTAGCTTCTTAGTGTCATATGTAAACATCTGTTCTAGTGATAACTTAGAGACCTACTGTTCCTGTGTCAATTTCCTTCAAAAGAGTTTTGTTGGGATTTGTAGGTAAAATATATATATATTTTGTTATTTTCACCACAGCTGCTTAGTCTGAAACATGCAAATAGGAGTTTTTAAAAGCATTTGAGCTGTTTTTTCAAGGTTGTTTATATGCGTAGGAGAGAGAATCTAGTCTGATTAGAGACCTTCAGAGTTTCACTGTGAAACCTGCTGCTGAAACTTGGTGGCATTTGGATATGTCCTTGGGTGAACAAAAGTAAACTTTATATTTGGTATGAAAATTGTGGACTTGCCATTGTAAAAGATTTCTTCCTTCACCCTTCTATGAATATATGCAAGGACATGCTCTTTCAACGGAGAGGTCAATTTCATAATAACTAATGTGGTAAAGTGTGGAAGATGTTGCAGGCTTGCTGTAAATTTTATGGGAAGCAAAGAGGGGTAGTACGGAAGACTGATTGCGGGGCATCTTCGTTTCTAGGGCTTTTTAGAGGCAGTTTTATTTAACTTCTCATGACTGCATTTCAGGTAGACACCTCAGGTACCTTTTTAGGATGCAGCTTGATAATTGGGGGTTTAGTCCCCTGTTGGAACTGGTGGTTTCTCTACATTATTGTAAGCGTTGTTCACAGTAGCTGGCTCTGATGCTGAGCTCCACAATGCTTGTCTGCTGCAGCCCTACTGTCAGTTTCTTCTATTACAGAAATTGTAGTCTGTATTAGTACAATATATCTAGGACTAAATTTTTATTCCATAAGTAATTAACGGAGTGATTTGCAATTTGTATTCAAGGACAAGTAAGGTATATGTGTTAAAGAGAACATTATGTGGACGTAAAATTAAGAAAACAATGGAGTGAATGGACATGTCGTGGAAATTAATGCAGTGTTTAAATCGAAGCAGTATACTTGCAGTATGTATAATGGATATTCTTTTGTTCTGAGCTATATCAAGGTTCTGAAATAGGTTATTACCAGTCATATTTCAGCATTTTAATCTGATCTTTGACATCTCAATTCTGGGCGAGAAACGATTGTAAATCATTCCAAATGGGAAGTTTGCGCTACCAATAATTTTAACAGCTAAATAATCTGTCTTAGGAGAGTCCATGTGGTGCTAAAAACAGTTTAGATTTTCAATATAATAACAAATCAATAGAAACAATCAGAAGAGAAGCAGATTAGTGAAGCTTGTGAACTACCTAAGTGATGTAGATGTTTCATTATTCAAGCAAGTTAGTTGGAAACACTGTATCAGCACTGATACCTTGCAATGCCACTGTGTTGTTCAAGTGAGGGCTAACATAGGACCAAAGCTATGTACTATTCTTTTGGTTCCTGCTCTGTTGGAAACCGAAGTGGGAGAAGAAAGGCACTGGTAAAGCACTAGTTCTATTTGCTTTTATTTTTAAGAAAAAGGAAAAATGACAAAAGTTCAAACATGTAGTTTCTCAGGGGAACTCAGAGACAACCATAAATATGCAGCTACTTTTGCATCTCTTAATTTGTTAACTGTTCAAATACTCAGAACTGTGCTTACCAAAGCTGATAGTTTTTTCTAAAGTGTGTGTAAAATATCCTGGTCTACTTTGCTTCCATGATGTCTGTGTCTGTGGAAATTTGAACCTTTTTCATTAGAAATAAAAAATTGGGATTGTAGAGTAACCATGTAACTCAGAATTAGGCTTCCAAAGAAAAAACAGGTGGCTGAAATAATGAAAAACATTACTGGCAATTAAAATAACACAAGTTATTGTACTACAGGGAGCATTGTCTGCATTAGTAAAAAGTTTTGAGGATCATAGAAGGCTTTTATGTGGTGAGGCAATTAAAATTTGTTTTGTTTTGAATAATAACAAACAAACAACTGAATCTACAAATGTAGAGAGTTGCCTGCAATGCTGAATATCTGTTTCATTGCAGCTGCTCATGTATTTCTACTGACTATCATTACAACAGTGTTGCTCAACCTGGGTTCTGCGAAAGTACCCATGAGTAACTTTATATAGGAGGGGAACCCTGTATAACCCTGTATTGCTTGTTTTGGGGAGTATTGATATCAATTATATTGGCATGTAAATGACTAAGTATTTTAGAGTTAAGATGTCACTGTGGAAGAAATGGTAGTCTTTGCATACAAAAATGGAAGCTAATGACTTAGTCGTGTAAACCAGCCAAAATTGCGTCTTTAAAATACTGTAGGGGAAAAAAAAATCCCGAAGCTGAATATTTGTGTGATGCAAACTTAAAGGAAATGAGACCTAGAATGTGAAGATATTAATAAGCTGTGTTTGGCATATTAGAAGTTGATATTAGATTTTATTTAGGTTTAAACTAGAAACATGAACTCGAAAGGGAAAAAAAAAAATCTCTGATATAGCAGTTACCTGTATTGTCAGACCGTATAATTTACACTACCAAAATACCACCTTAAGGTTTTGGCTTGAATTCCTCTTCAACACACATTTGATTTCAGTAGGAAAAATGAGGGAGGTGCATGAGCACTCATCACAATCCATCAAGTTCTTGATCTCATCTTGGTCGATTACTTGCAGGTCATGTTCCCATTATATATATTCTTAAGCTTTCTGCTTTACTTCCTAGCCTTCTGCAAAATAATGATAGGTAAATTGTTATTGTTCTTTGCAGAAAAATAGCTGTTCAGAAAAGTAAAGCATTTGCTTGAGAGAAACACTTAGTATGAATTTTCTATTGCAAATGGTAATTTTAAAATTAACTCCTCCAAAGGGAAACTGTGTAGTCTGTGAACTGCTAATGAACTGGATTCACTGAATAGCAAAGGAATTATTTGTTTTGTTCCATTTCCCTTGTCTTCCTCAACTATTAAGCTAAGATTTATTTATTTTGGATGAGCTTTTTAAGTATGTTGTTTGTCAATTTTATTACAACTGCATCTAACTGTTCTAGGAAAATAAAAAGATGACTCTAGAAATAATTCCAATACACTTTTTTATTTTTCCTCAATTTAAACCCCCCCTAATTTTAATTGTGACAGTTATTGTTCATGACCTATGCGTCTTGTGTAGTAGCATCATGAAACTTCAGAAATTGCACCAGGTAAAAAATGCATTTTCTATACTCAAGAAATTGTGCAGAAATAGATTTTGCCAATAGATGACACTGTTGTAACATGTTTGTTCCTTTATGTCCACTTTTCCTATTCAGGATATCAATAACCTGTTTGAATTAAAAAATTTCTAAGGTTGCCTAAGAGATGAAAAGGAGTGTATGTCCCAATCATGCATAAGCACTTTTAAATTCTGTGATTTTACGTATGTACGTAAAGTAGCTACTGTAGCTTAGTAAGCAAATGTGTGTGGAGTATATTTAGTTTTGAAATCAGAGCTTGTTGTTCATCTAGAATAATTTCTTTTTTCATAAATCAGAAGAAGGTAATAAATATTGTTTACTTTCCTTGCGAGAAACGTAACACATTTTAAAAGCTGATTTAAAAGCTGAAAGATTTGTGTAAAAGAACAGCCCAGGAGCCTGTTAGAACATTCATGTCATGTTTAAATACCAATTTTTGAGACTTCTATTCATGCATCACTGGTACAGAGTCAGTTACTCCTCATTTCATGGAAGGGAAATTCAGGGATAGGAACCACTGTAGTATGGGATCTTGAATGTACTTGACAGGCTTTGCAATTAAGTCGAGCCTTTAAGTCCTTAAGTAACTCTGATATCGCACTGATTTATCAGGATAATGGATGATGTTGGTGTTAAAATTCAGTCCAAAATTCCAAGCTCTCCAGTAGGATTAGTACCTAATCCACTGAATTACTTGTCTTCAAAAATTTCCATTATTCTTATTTATCTTCTTGCTCACTAATTTCTTCTTAAATAAGTAATGGCCATGAGATACGTGTGTGAAAATATGTCACAGGTAATTGTGCAATGAAAAGGTTAAAACGTATGAATGTTTTAATTGCAACAGCAGTCACTCAGTTCCTGTGTGTGTATGTGTGTGTATATATATACTTAATGTATTCCCTTTTACAAGAGTCATAACACAAAAGGTATGTAGTTATGTAAATATAATTTAAAATACACATGTAATGTTACAGTTGTCATACTTAACATTGGTATATTGTTATTGAAAATAAGTATGTTTTAAAAATTTGAACGGTTTGCTGAGTGTTGCCTTATGTGAATAATGAAACTGAACTGGGAGGAGTATTGGATATACACTAGGGGACGCTCCTCAAATACATACTTCCTTTTGTGTGTTTTAGAAGCCATTTGATTTGAATTGCTCTAGAGGTCCAAGCAATAGCTCAGATAAAGCAGGGTTTGGATTTGTTAAACACTTTTGCAAATGTAGCATGAAATAGAAACAGGTAGTTCTGAACTAACTGTGATGCAGCTTAGCTGGAAAGGGTGGCTAGTGAGTGTGCAGGAAACACAGTACAAGGCATAATTTGTTATACATCAGATCTTTATTCTGTATGTTTTAAAATCTTAACAAATCTGTGGGTTTAGGTGTACCTATAATGTACACATGCGTCAGGTTCTTCTCCCTCAAAGCAGTGGTGTTCATTCTTGCAGATGCCTTACTGTCCTGTACCAGTTATCTTTTTTATAAGCATCACAAACTCATCAAAGCTGATGCTTCCATCATTATTTTTGTCCAATGATTTAATTATGTTATCAAGTGAGAATGAATCCTGTTTTATATAAAAAAAAAAAAAAAAAAAAAAGAGAGAGAATGAAATAAATAGATTGTAACAACTGTTTTCCTGTAAGGAATGTTGCCAAGAAGTGATGTAGTCACCAACAGTCAGTGTTACTTGAAGGTGTTGTATTTACCAGTTTTACTGGTTAAACTAGAAATACAGTGCCTGCTCTCCCCTGCCAAAAACGTTAACAAAGATATGGTAACCATTTAGAAATATCACGTATTGCTCAGGTTACTTGAGTCTTATGTGTAAATTTGGAATTTAGGAAACAGAGCAGGTAGAATAGCTGCAGCATGTATACAGTCACCAATAAAAACCATTATGCATAGTACGTATTGCTTTATTAATACTTGTTTGGGCCCTATTTGAAAATGCAATACTACTTTCATTAGGCTTTGGATCAGGACCTGAGAGTGTCTTTCCCTTCCCTTTTCCCCTCTTTACTAGGAATACTGTATTGACTGTTGAAAAATTCTTGCTAGTGTATTAATCTAGTTCAGCTTATTAGCGCCTTTTATTTGTCGTGTCTGGTAAGAGCACATGTCACATCCTGGTGCAGTGAGTGTTCTGGTGACATCCCTGATCAGGCTAAATAATATATATAATTATATAAATAACTGCAGTTAAATAATATAAAACCAGGTTTTTATTTATAATCTGAATTTAAAAAAGGTTTTGTTTCTTCATACTTTATACCTATGCATGTTTTGTAATGTCCTTTCCTGCTTTTATGTTGATTTATTATGGTGCCATGTATTTCTGCAGAGTAGATGCTTGAAAATATCTGATATCCAGGCAGAAACCAGCAGTATTGCTTTTTTGAACTCTTCCCTTTCCATATATCTGAGAAAATGGGTATGGTGCTAAATTGTCCACAGCTGATATAAAAAGCATTATATTTCTGAATTTGCCATCACATTTCCTATTAATTTTTGTCAATTAATTTCTGAGAGTTTTTAAGAGAAGAAAACCCTTTGTGTTTTATTAATTTGGTGGGGCTTTGTTTGTTTTAATTAGCCACTTCATATTAATTGGATAACTAAATTGGATTACTGTAGTTCTCAAAGTACTGGATTTTTCTATTGAGGTGCAATTTCTTTTAGCCCTTTAGCAAAAATTGCTTTTGTCGGCTATCCAAAACACAGTATTTAACTATTTGTCTAGCAAAAGAATCTAAATTAGGTCCTAATGCAGTTCAGGAAAGGTCTGGCAGAGAATATATATGAAATCAGAACCTAGAATTTTATTTTCTTTTTAAATTTTTTTTTTTTTAATTATTCTCCTTTTTTTTCCACCCTCCACTCCCCAGGAAATGGGTATTTCTCTCTCTAGCTTGGTAGCATCTCTTTTCTTTGCTTGACTTCTTTCTGGAATGGCAAACCTTCTTTTACTTGGTGGTGGTAGGAACTTAATCTAGATAAAAATTGGCTCATGTCTCTGCCTTTTAAATTTGTCCTACTGATGTACTTGGTTTATGTATCTTTATATATATTTTCTAGATTCAGACTTATTTAGACTGAAGCAAAAAATACAAGACTCGGAAGCAATATTCTGTGTGCGGTTTGGCTTAATCCAAACAAAACAGCTTCTTAGATTTTTTTGATTTTATTCATAGAGCTTTGTTATAAACTCCCTACGCACATATCTGTTTGGAGCTGCTGTTCATTACTGTGAGTGAAGTTTTTTATAAGCCAAGCCTTAAGTATTATTTATAGAGTCAGTGAAACCATTTGGGCACATAATCTACCTTGCAATGTCATTGCCTATATTTCCTTTTTCCTATCCATTTCATAGGAAGCACAGTGAATATAATAATACAATATAAAAAAATATATATGAATATAGTAATACCATATGAGAGTGAAACTTACCTTCAGGTACTGCGCAAATTGATTCTGAAGGAGATTTTTCAGCCCAGCAATGGACAGTGCACTGGTGCTACCCTCCTTTAAAGCATACTGGGTAAAATACTTCAGAAGGTTATCATTGAGTAAATGTTCCATGTTTCTCAGATGTTGTCTTGAAGAACTGCAAACAAAGCAGACAGTAACAATCTTGTGCATGAGAATTTTGAAATACATCTGAAACCCTGTTTGTTGGTTTACTAACCATGTGAAATGACTAATATTTAACCTAGATTAAAAGAAATACTTAACCTAGATGAAAAGAATTGGGTTTGGGTTTGTGTTTTTTGGTTTTGCTTTTGTGGTTTGTTGTTTGGTTTTTTTTTCCTCCCCTGTACTGGATCAACTTTCCCAAGGGGGGAAAAAAAACCCCAAAATCCAAAACGAAACAACAAACAGCAAAAATTAGGTTCAAAGATATGAAATACCAGTTATTTTTAGGTTGTTCTTACCTGACTCAAAATCCAGAGCTTTCAAATGTATGTAGCAGAACTGAGAGTCTCAGGTTGGGGCAACCTTTATAGTTGCTTGCATGCTCCACCCTAATTATGAAACGAGCATTTGTTGTTGAGTCAGTGCACTAGTTTTATTGTCTTTTTCAATAGTCAAAGGAATAGGATACTTTAGCCGTAGAAATGAGTAATATTTTTTTTTATCTCTGAAATGGGTTGGCATCACCATCCACTGCTGCACTTGACGTAGGTTTACTTGGTGTTTGTATGCCATCCTGGAGAGAGAGGTGTATTTTGCATTTTGTGTACCACACACAAAGAAGCCTGAAGAAGACTGCTATGGGGATATGTATAGCATTTGTTATTGTAATGGACTTTTGGAAAATGGTAAATATAAGTTTATTTTAAAAAGATCCAGTTAAGTAAATATGAAGAAGCTACTTGCTCTTTGTGCGAGTTGATAATCGCCAATGCCAAAGCCATTTCTCCAAATTTTGTGCTACTTCTTAGCACCAGAGAGTGTGGATTTTCTCTGGGGAAAAAAATTTGGTTGCTACTATTAAGAACCAAAACACTCCATGATGTGAATGGAAAAAGCATTCTAAATAGGAAAGGTGAATCTAAGGTCTTGAAAACTGTTCCTTCTTGCGAGCATCTTCCCAACTGGGTTCCAGCAGGGTTCCATGACAGGTAAGAAGGAGGTTTTCTGAGAAGACTAGACAAGCTTTGCTAAATGAACCATGTATATGTAGACATAAAGCTAGGAGCTGCTGCTGTTATCACTAGTGGAACCTCTAATGATGCCAAGGTATATGGTGGTAGCAGTGCAAGCAAGCCTGGGAGTCCTGGTCTAGAGTAGATTGTATGGTTAAGGTAAGACCCATGCACCAAACCTGGGGCATGAACTCTATGCTCATTCATGACAATGAGATAATCTTAAGTCCTTTTCTCTTCCTCTTCTTTCCACAAACAAAATGAAAACCACACATCTATCTCTTTCTCCTTACATCCTGTTTTCCACCTTTAGTAGATGGTGAAATTTTAGTAGCAGTGTATGACCAGGTGATCTGCTAAGGCTTTGGCTCCACATCTGCTAATTCTCCTTGCCTACAGGTCCTGCTTGTGGTAGCCTCACCATTTTAACTCTTTTATCCCTTTTGGAAGCAGTGTCAGGAAGCTGGTGTGCTGATGTGTGTTGTTGACATTACGGTATTTGCAAAACTTCTTAAGTGTTCGAGTGACTTGTCTTTACTTGTACCGAAAGCACATCCCTATGTTGAAGATGTAGTAGTAAGATGCTTGGTAGTATGGAAGAATTGCATTTCAAGGGATCACAACTCAAGGAATTCAGACCATTAGCCTTATTAATTTGTTAAGGTTTTGTTAAAGAACACCACCTAATTGCAAAACAGCATAACCAGTTTTACTGAAACATCTTCCCATGGAAGTGAGAGACTAATGTCTGGAGATTAAGGTGACCTGCCTAGGAGTTGCACACCAAATATGGGGGTGAATCTGGTCTCTTCAGATCAGCTTTATTCACAAGGCACTGTAATCTATAAGAGGCTATCTGAATGAAAGACTGACAGAGTCGGGATTTGTAGTTTCATCTCCCAACTCTTTGTCCTCTTCTCTCTCATTTAGACCACAGTGCCTTCATCCAATAATTTGTGTGGCATCTCTGAACTCTGTATTGGAATCATCAACAGAACTCAGTTTGACAGGCCCCAGCACACTGTCTTTGCCAGAAGACCTTTTTTGGGACATAAGTGCTCTTCTGAAATAGGTACAGTTCACCCAGCACAACCCAGCAATGGCAGAATGATATCAAGGCATAAGGAATTCTGGTCACTAGCCAAGAATTTGAACATAAATAGGGGAATCTAGTATCTCACTGTTGCCACAATTAGATGGCATGTAACTAGCAGGCAGCAGCATTTATCAATGCTGAAGAACAGCACTTGGTACCAGGCTTTGTCTGTGCAAGCTGACTCCCAGTGTAGAAGCAGCAGTCCAGCTTTAGTTATAGTGGTTTGCTGCTCTTTCTTGGATGTATGAATATTTATCATTCCTGCAGTTTATGGCATAATTCAATTGGGTTTGCCCTGGGCTAGTAAAATCATGTTAGCAGGCACCGTATCCTTTTGGAATTGACATTTTTATTGTAGCTTAGATACAAAGCCGTTAACAAAAAAAGAACTAAGTTGATGATGTTGTGTAGGTCTGTTTAGGGCTGCACATCACACACATGTCTCTGTGATGATTGTGTGTTGTTTCAGTGATGGTGTCTGCAGTAGTCACTCAAATTGGTTATTGCCGAGTATTACCCTAGTAAACTGGTTTGCTGGCATATTTGGAGCAAGCAGTTCCAATCACATTGGAGAGTAAGAGAATACAAGCTGCAGAGATGACTGAAGTTTGGGCACCACTGCTAGTGGTAGGAGGGGTGAAGCTTATGGCATCATGGTCACATAGTCTTCATGCACATTTAACGATGGATTTGTTTGTCACATCCTTCCTGCCACCATTGATGGCTAAATGATATGTGAATCTATGTTCCTTGTTTACCTTAAGGTGCTGGACTATAAACTAGGTTGGTTTGCAACTGGATCACTATGCCATTGACTGATACTGTTGGAAGGGACCAGGCACCTTTCACAGGGGTGTGGCTGTCACCTGAGGGCAGCAACTATCTCTGTCATCCTGTTTAATCCTTTGCTGATAGGTTAACACCCTAACCTTCCAGTATTTTTCCACCTTCACTGGTGTATTTTATTGTAGCAGCACTGTTACTTTATGTGAGCCCAACTAATTCAAAGCTAGTTGAGCAACTTAGGTAGATTTAGATTAGATAGTAGGAAGAAATTCTTTACTGTGAGGGTGGTGAGACACTGGAACAGGTGGCCCAGAGAAGAGGTGGCTGCCCCATCCCTGGCTGTGTTACAGGCCAGGTTGGATGGAGCTTTGATCAACTTGGTCTAGTGGAAGGTGTCCCTGCCCATGGCAGGTGAGTTGGAGCTAGATGATCTTTATGATCCATTCCAACACAAACCATTCTATGATTCTTTGTTTCTATGAATCTCTGTGAGGCTTATATTACAGCCTGACTGCAGTATAGAAATGTCTACTGTCAAGGTGAAGTTTGTGGTTATTGAGAACATATATTTGTAGATGTTGTACACTTGGAAAGAAAGAGCAGGAGGTGATTTTATGCTTATTATTCACCTGCTTCTACTTGTATGCTGCTTGTGCATCATCTCTAGCTTCCAGACATCAGTCACTAGATCAAGGCCCTTTGTTAGCTTTGGTTACTTTCTGGAGTGGAAGTGGAGAAAGGCAATGGGACGGTTGAAGTAAGTTGGACTGGATTAGGGGTTCTGTGGAACATACAATTCCTTATCTGATTTGTAAAGGAATCTTTCGTAGGTGTCAAATAAGTTTGATTTGCTGTAAGGAAGCAGAGCAGCACTTGTATAGAGCTAATGCTAGTATAAAGAACATGTGTATCTATGCCTGTTGTAAAATATTAATGCCCACACTGAAGTTAAATATGGGATATGTACAATATTAGATCAGTAAGAATAATTTTTTTTAAATACTTGTACTGTAGTAATTAGCAAATAATGAAAGGAAAGCTGTGGAGATGCAGATGTCTGCTGCTACCACCATGTGTGTTCATTTTGGGTCTAAGGGCTTTGATAAGTCCTGCAGAGAATTGGTCCTGCAACTGCAGTCATCTTCAGGCTTCAGTTTTTCAATGTTGCCAGTGCCATGGGTTCTAACTGTCGGGCTGGGGGGAGTCAAAGGGCAGATAGAGAGAAAGAACATCCAGTTAACAAATTTGCTGAGAAAGATCAAATAATTGTGGCTGAGAAGTTCAGCAAACTATGCTACAGCCATTATAGAGAACCTGGCATTGCTATGAGGCATGGAACTGTTAGATGGAGGTTGAGGATGGGTTGTAAAATCCTTTGTGTGTCACAAATGATGCATTACTTATGTTAAAATTGCCATTGTTTGTAAAACCTCCAGTGGTGATGTATAAAAGGGTTGTCTCATCTCACAAATTAAACTTGAACTATATGGCTTATCCTGACGAGAGTTTCTTCCAGGCCCTCCCTTGTGACATATACCTTAATGAGATGTTGAAGGTGTCTCTCTAAACAGGACTGGGTGTGGCTGCTACAGGGATGAATGATTTAATATGGTGCGTTGTTTGTAGTCATCTTTAAATTGGTGATGTGTTATTCATCGTAGCTATATGTGTCAGCTTTTGCTGTCATGTACACATCTGGCCTACAAACTTGTATCATTGAAACTCCTTGTGATACAGATATTCTGTGTTACACGAGACAGTTTTGAGGGAGAATGTGTTTCAAGAGAGGTTTTATCCTTCCACTTTCTGAAAATGAAATTGATGAGGAGAGAGAATCTAGTTCTGTAGTTTGTTCTCAAAGTATTGTTGCTGCTCTCAACAATGCAACCCTGGTGGCCTGTTAAAAAGAGGTCTAGAGGTGCACGTAATAAACCACATGGGCATAGAATGTAGGAATTGCTTGGCACTGAGATGCCTAAATCCCAGAGTGTGAACATGCTAGTAAGAAACTCCTTCGCTCAGTTTTTTTCTTGCCTGAAAATACCTATAAT